TTCAACACGATTGAGTTGCGAAAACGAGGTTAAAGAAACTTGTTGCTGAAAATATACATTCAAATATGCATATTTCCTATCTACGATAAACTCTTTTTGCTTAATCCTATTGCATCTGATAGCGATTATAACGCAGATAAATTGGAGGGAAAGGCTTGGTTTTACGAAGAAATTTATTGTGAATTGCATCCGAAAAGACCCTTTTCATCCTAGGTATGTTGCTCTTCCGAGTCCTCAAGTTTCAGAGTTCATAGAAAGGCCTTTACTTACAAATGTTCATGTCAAGATGTTAATTGAACTAGGCCTGTTTTGCAGTGGATAGAACGCTTGCTCGTTAACTTCATCAATTTATGGTGACGTCTATGATGTTAAGTGTTTGTTCGTAAACTAACTTATCGACTCTCCGAATCTGGCTGGAGAAACATATTAGTTCGAGGCGAAGCCAAAAATCGACCTTTGGAATGCATGGAATAATTAATCTCAGTACAAAATCAGGTATTTTTCAAGCAATCGAAGGTAGGATCGCTATCAGTCACTGTAACGTTAAATACAAATGGCGAATCCTATCAAAACTTCAAGCCTCTTCCAAACAATAAAATAGTCCGATAAAAATTAAGATAAAAACTAATAAGAGTCATATGTAAATAAAATGACCGGAAAAAAAATTTAGGTGGGTGGATTTGAGGGTCGCTTATGCCTAAAGTCTCTTATAATTAGTTTAGTTAAATGGCAATATACATCAATTCTAATTCACTAAAGTTATAAGACAGAGTCACTACCTACAGTCCCACATCGAGGCCCAGTTTATGGAGCAAGCGAATACCCACCTAACTCCAAGCCTGGCAGGTAGTCACCTGTTGTACTTATAGAATTCTTTCTATTATTCTCACTTAAACTAATGTCTAATTTCTTTGATCAGGTAAAAATATGGTTTCAAAATCGACGCATGAAATGGAAGCGATCACACAAACCCGCAATACCTGGTCAGCCATCGTCCATCATTCTAATGCTGGATACAACGACAAACAGCTGTGACTCTCCATCTCCAGATCACGAGGTCCAAAGTGCAGGGACTGAAGGGCAAATGGCTGGTCCAAATACATTGGCAGACTTTTCGTCGAGAGATCTAAGTATGGAGGCATATGAAAGTAGGGAAATTTATGTAGAAAATACGAGTGTAGGTAATGATGAAGAGAATGAAGCACTGAGGGATTGTGAGGAAGAGGAACGAGAGCGAGAACAAAAAAATGACGAGCTTGATAAAAAGGTATCAGGAGATGGAATAGAGAGAATAATTGAGCTACATAGAGAAAGTCTGAATGGAATCGAGAGGCTAGTTCAGAGAGAAGATCATTATGAGGTCTGCCCAGAAGACGATGCTGAGGCCCCCATCAGAAGACTCCGAACTACCACTAGCAATCGATTTTGCGAGTTTATTTGCTGTGAGCAAGTGTCAGGCAAAAAGGAAACATTGTCTTCGACGAAGCAGGAAGCTCCTGAAAAAGTGACTTCTCCCATATGGGACATTCGACTACCCAGTAGGACGATCCATGGTTGTGAAAATTTGGTCCAACAAGTATTTCCAAAACCTATGACGCTAAATCAGCCTCACGAGTCTGAGATGGATGCCATAAACGAAAGAGAGCGAAGAGCCATAGCTAGGGGAGGAGATGTTGGAAAACAAGGAAGCGCAGTAGGTGTAAGAGGATCAGGACTAGAGACTGAGAACAAGTCGAAGCGCATCGACTTGACAGTTATGACGCCAACAATTCCAAGGAACCCAGATCTATGTTATCAAAATTCGGCAAGTTTTCAATCTGACAAGGTGAATACAGCCCCAACCCTCTGCCCTGATTTGTTTGAATCTGGTACAAGTGGGCAAACAGAATCAGGT